ACGTATATTTCTATATATATAGTTGTTTAACTCCGCAAGTATGCGTGAAAGACCCTGTAATTTAAACTATACCAAATAGGACGAAATAACATCAAAAATTACAAACGCACACGTTGGACACTCTTTTTGACACTTTTGTAATCGGGTGATACCCGAAAAACGCTTTTCACAATACATGCCAGTTCAATATTTTGTCTCCTGAGCGCATCCTGGTCACAGTAGACGCAATCCACACTTGTCACATATCCTGCCAGAAGGGGAATTGTGAACTTCATGATTCACAGGCATACAAATAATTATTCACACCTATCAATAGTATTGTCCTTAGCTCTGTTACCAATTTCAGAGCTATCGTACCAGTAGTATAGCGTCAGTTGTAATTTAACCTGTTTCCGCTCGATGCATGTTGACCATTTATAATTAAGGTGGCAAATTGTTACCAATTTGAGAATTGATTGATTTCTGGAACAAAAAAAGGTGGCAATTTTATATATAATCCAGTTCTATACTTGTGGTGTTGAAATACTGACAAGCAATCACATATATTATATACACAAGTCAAAGACATTGATCGTTAGTTTATTTGACTTATATACAGTGACAATATAAGCCCACATGCCGAAATTTGCCACCCCAGTGCACAATATTCAAGTGCAGCTTAATCTGTACATCTTCCTGCTTCACTGTTAAATGATCTCTGTCGAGTTCTATGACTCAGAATAATAACATTATAAAAATGCGTGTTAGATGTCGTATAACTCATGATTTATTTATTATATAACTATAGACCTTTTACTTTTTTAGTGTACATAAACCAAGTGTAAGCTTCATATATATGTTCACACTTAGTAGATTACTATGCTACGTTGTGCATATGTGTTGTGCAAACACAAGGACTGTTTATCAATGTGTTTGTAACTTTTAGTATTAACTATCGTCACTCATACTAAATAGCAATCTATGTCAATACATAATATTAATATGCTCTTTTAAAAAAGTATAAGATGTGGAAATATAGGAGAAATAAATAAATATGAGGAAATTATACAAGAGAAATAATAAATATGTAACATATTTGTTTTTATAGAAAAATAGTAAATATGAAAAATGAACGAAATATATTTTTAATGCCATATATTTTTCATGAATATGGCATATTTTATAAAAATATAATATTCCTAATTTTAATATGTACATATATTTGTAATTCCTAAAATAATAAATACGTGTATAAAACGTTGAATATAATAATATGCACTTTTACGTTTATTTGTATGTGTTCCTCGGTCAGGTGTAGACACTGTAGAGCGACTGTGACCGTAGACTGTAGAGTTGCACATAAATACATAGTTCTGGCGGCTCGCAAATAAAGTAATATTCGAATTTTGTATATTAAAAAATCGTATAAAAACGTAGAGTAGTGACGTGAACACTTTTTATGCTTAATTGTTTTTCTTCAAAAACGGTAGTGCTTTAACGTTTTTAAGTTCGAACACTCTTTGCAGAGTTTGCACATACCCCCTGAACTTTATTAAAGGTTAGCAGTCCATACTCCATAGTCCACAGTCCTCAGTGACGACCACTGACAAGTGACGAGTGGTCCACAATTACGAGTTCGCCTTTTCACTTCGCACCCCGCATTTTTCAAATTGGACTATAGGTGCACTTTAAAAAAGTGCTGTCGAAAGAGGGTGGGCCTGCTTTGGCGCGTTTTATATACTACCTAAATATGGTAAAACAAGTGGTCAAGTCTAGTCCCAACTATAGAGAAAGAGGAATGCGGAAAGAGCTCCCTTTTTTTTGGATTTTATTCGCCTGAAACAAATCTTCACTTGGAACCGCCTAAAGAGCCTACGCCCAACGAGGCTACGAGTTACGACTATGTACTCGTACTCGACTAGTAGAGAGTAGTTGACTAGTAGTCGTATTAAATAGTACTAATAAGTAGTCTTTTTATGTCTTTTTAAAGAAACGGGACAATATCAATACATAGTAAATTTTCGTTTTCGGCGGCTGCACCACACGACACACGGAACCGTACAGCAGCAGCAGCCAGCAGGTCGCGCGCTTATTACGGTAGAGTTACACACATACAAAGGAGAAGCAAGGAACGTATGTCATTGCAAAGCATATTGTGGCAGGCAAGAAGGAAGGCGGACGGTTTAAAAATAAAAGAAGGGGACAAAATGAAAAGATGGGTAATCTTAAAAGTTTAAAATTTTAACGTAATAAGGGCTAGCTATGGTCTGTGGGACGGTTGAGTGTGGAGGTAGAGTGTGGACTGTGGACTGTAAAGAATCTACGTATTGACGGTATACATAATAGTATGTGCAATGTGCAAGTGTGTGAGCTGTGACATGAGACTGTGTGTACTCTGGGACTATCAGCCCTTTACTCCGTGGCCGGTGAAAAGCATAGTTAGTCCAGGTCTCGAGGAGAGTTGCCACCAGAACTCTAGTAGTAGAAAACACTCTCTAGACAGTCTAGCGCGGCAAATGTCCACATTCACAGTGCATATAAAACCCATGTACTCTATTGACAAACGTTGATCACCTGATGGGATGATAGTCACGTGAGTTTCCGTGCCATGCATGTATACCGTCGTCAGACTTGATTCTGAACTTGGGATCGGATAAGATGCCCCAAGTCGACATGTTGTGCTTCGGCACACTGTGGTCGCCTCTCATGCACACAACTAGGCACTGAATTGTTTCATTATAGTAATCACGACGTATAATTTGAATATCTTTAAAACTCCCTCATGTATTTGTGTAGACTAATCTCTAACCGAATTTTGAGGCCGTACTTGCATGAATATGTTTTCCACTAGGAATTTGAGGGATAAGATGTTTCTTAACTTTTCTTCGGGGATAGATAAAAACTCAACACAACCGTATGATACACTAAGCGCATACGCGTTAAATTCAGCAGTATTTTGGATAGGAGTTTCCTTATCTGGTCATGTCAGGGCACACCAAAATATTTGCACTCGAATAGTCCAGTCCAAACTAGGTGATGGTTCGCAACAGATGAATGACACTGAAGCAAGTTGTACAATGTTTACACCCTTAAATTCATAGTACGGGATGTCGCAGAGACGAAGGAAAACCGCGTTCAGGAATCTGCCTCAACCATTTGCGCGATTTGACCAACTTTGAAAATACACTAGTGACTTGTCTGTGGATATATAAATATATATATATATATATATGTACAGCGAAAAGTATTCGGATGCATTTATTTTAATAAATACACATGATGTCATTACATGACGTTGATTTTGTAAAATAATATTTGGAAAGGTCTTTTAAAAAAAGATACCTAAAAATTGTAAATAGGTCCATAGAAAAATCCGAGTCAAATATTTTTTTTTTGTTTATATTCAGAAACTCTCTATTTAAAAACAACATTTTAAAAGAATGATTGATCGTGTACATACCCTTGAGAGTTGGAAGAATTGAGACTCAGAATTGAGACTGCGAGTCTGTGAGAATTGTATGAGACTTGTGCAAATATGTTCATTTTTCTTAATTTTTATGTACTCCGAACCCTATACCACCCCAACTTTCACACACTCTCTCCAGAGAGGTAAAATGAACCTTTGGACATTCTAATGTTTTACACTCTAGTAGAGAGAGAGTAGCTAAATAGTAGAAAGTAGAGATCAAATCCACTTTTTGAAACCTGAAACCGAATTCTGAAAATAGTGACTTGTACACTACTTTTAAAATATTTACTGTTTTTCTAAAATAAAAATATGTATGTATGCATGTAAAGTCCAAATTCCAATCGACAAACATATTTATATATAAAAATAAAAAACACCGCTGACGTCGGTGGGTAACTAATATTCTGAGGGACTTAACAGCTAAAGCTTTTAGTGATAAATAGCGTATTTTATTTAAATACCTGATCAGTGAGAAATTTGATATTTGATATTTTCAAAACAAAAACGGTATTGTATATATTTACTGTATTTACGTTGGAACGCATGCCACTGTGAGGTCGTTTTTATTGGTCAAGACTTTTGGAACGTCTGGAAGGAAGGACTTCAGAGTTGTGAGAACCTCCGACTTGGCTTGGGAGTTTGATCCTTCACTCTCTTAGACTCTTGAGGCACGCTCAATTGTAAGAATGAGTAGACCTGAGCTTCTTATTGGCTGAAAAGTCTTCAGACTGATTGCTCCGTCTGTTGTACTTTTTAACCCTACTCCACTTTCCGCAGTCGTGCATTTTCCGCACATTCCAATTGTTTTTGAAATTTGCCGTGTCCGAAAATCAAAATTCATATTCCAATTGTTTTCTTGAAAACAATAATTTTAAGAATATAAAAGCGCCTTCTTTCAAATGTATTTAGCCTTGTATAATTTAGAAGGTTATTTTTGCTTCTTTGGGCTTGTTCTCAGAAGATTCTCTGTTGTTCTTGTATTTATTTGTATATATATGGTCTTTTTAAATTAATCGTCCCGCATATAAGGAAGTTCGAAAGCTTAGACAACCATAAAATAGAAGCGATTTTTTTTTGACAATACTATGGATGTGAATTCTCAGAGATGACTGAGTCACAGACAACTATCGTGGATGGGCCTAAATCACCTAAAACTTTCTTTAGGAAGAAGCGGAGGAGTATCACCCAGGCCCTTCTCCCACGAATGAAGCCGAGGAAGGAAGCAGAACACGATGTACTTAAAGATAATGGTTGTTCGTATATAGGGTTAACAAAGTCTCTGGCGAGACCTCAAGGAAATTCCAGTGAAGTTTTATACGGTAGTAGTCCAGATGCACCACTGCTGAGCTCGAGAAGCATGCAGTCGATTCAAAGAGATATCTTAAATTGGGCTAAGAATGATCAGAGTGTTGCAACATTACTATCACAGAACAATTACGGCGAATGTGCTTCGAATTGGTCAAGACTTCCGGGAATTCTTCTCTCAGGTTTGCACCGGGGAGGTTCCACTGAAAGTGGGAATTCGATTCTAGAATCGAGAGCTACTGCTTTTGCAAATGAGCTCGCCAATAGCAAAGTGCACATGGGCGAAGGGGAAGCTCCGGCCCTCCGAATGAGGGGTTCAAGAGGAAACAGCTTACATATTTCTAATCAGCAAGGACTAAAAAATTCAACCGTTCCGTCGCAAAACCATATCGATATGCTACGCGCAAACGACAGCTTAACCACCGCTTTAGCCCAGGAGACAACTGCTCATGATGTATTTGGCAAGAAGCAATTTCGGACTACAACCCCACAAAAATTTGAGAACATATCGATAACACAAGAGCGAATCGCGTCGTTGCAGATTGACCACTTCGAGGCAGAGCTTCTAGCGATGTCACTGGAGTGTAGTGAAGATGATTTTCGCAAGAACGAGAATTGGTACTCTTTCGGCACCAGCCGGGAATTTACCCACGACATGGATATTCACTGTCCGAGGCGCCAAAGTGCCCCTAGTACCACAGTGTCCAATGTGCGAGATAGCAGTGACAGTTTTGAATCGACGCAACGATTGGCAATATCTTATGAAGTCGTCCGTGCGAAACCCCGCGGACATGTATCATTTAATAACACAGAGAGCAGCGCTCCGAGATACTCTGAATTGCCCTGCCTCACACCTTCGCAAAAGAAACACCAAATAGACTTCCCCAAAGTCTACCTGGGTTCGGCGAAGCATGTACAAACCTACGTCTCAGATCGACCAGTCAGAACTAACACTATATTCAAATTCGAAGATGCTAGTAAGCGTTGCAGCAAATCAGATTGCACACAAGCGAAATCCGCAGCAATACCGTGCAACACTAATTATGATATAGTTCAAGAGGGAAGGATCCCCGATGTCAGAACATCATTTTCGACTATTGAAGAACATCTCACGAGGGTCAATTATCAGCCAAATCCTTCGAGTGCGCGAAGATACCATGAACACGCTCTTGACTCCAATACTGCATCTGAAGAAGAGTGTTCAATGCTCTCCCAAGAAAGTATCCATGGATCATTGCACTATAATGATGACAATCATAGTGACAGTGCTGCCGTATCAATCCCCGAGGATGACAAACTTCCAGCGGTACCACTACTCGTGAGGTCACATACGATTGCCTCACAACGCCCAGGCAGTGTCAGACCTATTCCCAAACCGAGACCCAGGTCGGCATTTATAGCAACACAATCGGCGAATCCCTCGACTAAAACTGACGGATTACCATCTCCTGCACCCGTTGCATTAAAGTCATCGTCTTTGCCTTCGATTGCCAAAGAATCAACATATGTTCAGTCAGTGTTGCGGGACGGGTCTGAACTGCATATCGTACCGGTTAATGTGCCACTAGCACATAGTTTCAATGGGAATGTGGTGTCCAATATCGTTGGACTGGTGATTGCAATCGACCCTACTTCTTACTCGGCACCAATCGATCTGGATAGACAATTGAACGCCCAAAAAGTGGAATACCGACGCCGGTTCCAAGAAGCTTTTGATAACGCTCAATTCGCCGCGCAGCATGAACCCTCGCCAATTGTTCCTATGTCTGAGACTTGCGCCGCAACAACACTAGATATGAACTTCGTGGGAAAGAGTTCTGTAGAAGTCTTCCGAAATAGAATAGATGCTACACACCTTAAAAAACAAAACCTGCGTTTCTTAAGCGAAGGTCCACGAGATCTGATACACGCAGACATCACACCGTCTGTGATTCAGAAACACCGGCATATGCGCGTGCCCGGAAAGGCTCGATAGGCTCCAGATCAGTCAGTGCACCAGACAGCGATGGGACAAGGGCGAAGAGGCGCTTCAGTGGATTGCTCAGCAAATTCAAACGTATGCGCAGTACGCACGATAACCGCGAGGAGCAAACGGAAACTTGAGTGACTAAGGTGGTCTAGTTGGCTACCATGGCAACCGTATGTTGATTCGGATCTCAGATAAATTCCTTGGCTCAAGCATGTCGTGGGCGGATTGTGCAACACCTGCGCCAGTATCTGGAAATGTGAATTGGCACGTAGGTCAATTTTGCGAATTTTTAGAAACCATAACTCTAGGCTCGATTGTTGCATCGCACTAGAAACGATGACACAAAATTCAATAGTAAGGTGCGAAGGTATTGTCAATGGTCAGGACTTCGGTCAGAGTAGACAAGCGCGGGTAAGCCCACTTCCCGGGTTCAGAGTCACTCAGATGAAATTGAACATCTGGAAATGCGGAAATGATAGATCTTATCCCCTACGAGAGATGTGCATAGCGCAAAAAATAAACTTTAGGAAGACTTGTACATAATTTATTTAATTCTTATGATTGACTCATTCTGTTGTTGGGCTCGTGTTTGCAAAAATAACATTAATTGTAGGAAGACTTGTACATAATTGATTCAATTCTTTATGATCGACACATTCTGTTTGTTAGGCTCGTGTTGAATATACTACTCGCAAGGCCTCTCCAATGTTGAAAATTCTGGTGAAATGTATATATGCATCTGTAGCTCGAGCAGGGGACTTCCTGGTTGTGTGGTTGTTGCGCTCAGTAGTTGAACTCCCCCGCCAGACACTCATTCAGGCGCTTTGAAATTACAGCAGCCTGTGTTGCATCGAGTCAAAACAATTACAAAGCGAGTTAATTTGAAACCACGCACGCCAATAAAACACACAAACCCGATACATCGACAGTGTACTGTAGTCCTGGGTAGGTAGCCCGACTTGCACTCTAACAACGATACAATACCTAAGCATACATCAACAGTATGCTGCATATAAACTGTAGTCCTGGGTAGGAGGCCCGACTTGCACTCTGACAACGATACAATACCTAAGCATACATCAACAGTGTGCTGCATATAAACTGTAGTCCTGGGTAGGTGGCCCGTCTTGCATGCTGACAACGATACAATACCAAAACATACATCAACAGTGTGCTGCATATAAACTGTAGTCCTGGGCAGGTGGCACGTCTTGCAGGTTGACAACGATACAATACCAAAACATACAACAACAGTGTGCTGCATATAAACTGTAGTCCTGGGTAGGTGGCCCGTCTTGCATGCTGACAACGATACAATACCAAAACAAACACCAACAGTGTGCTGCATATAAACTGTAGTCCTGGGTAGGTGGCCCGCCTTGCATCTGACAACGATACAATACCTTGGCTTTGACGGCGCCGAATTGTGCAGTGGAGTTCGTGTACAAACAGAGAAGGAGCTTGCCTACCTTCGTCATCACAACCTTCCCATTCTGATGGATATGAATGGAAACCAATACAAGTAGGCGTCAATAGCGTACCACAGTATTAACCCACAATGAGTCAGTCAGGTATGACTTGTAACAGGTAAGCATCGATTGGTACAGAGTATGAATCCTCCGGCTGGGGCTTGTGAGGAGATTGAAAGTGTCTACGTTAGGCTTGGTAGGAAGAACATGGATGCGACATATAGGCCGTGTCTCCGATGTATCCCAAGTCCATAACAACCACTAAGTGCAGATACAAAAACGGTTTGAAGCGTGCTCCTCTCTACACACATACCTCGCATTCCAGCATAACAAACTCAGGTCCGTCCAGTGAAAGTGACGGGGATCCGTTCGTCAAGTACGCTTGCCAAATATGGTACGCAATAGCCGAGGTTATTTTGGGGTCATTCTCTGCATCCGATATACTCTCTTCCTCCCCAGCCCACGCCACCAACGACCCATCCACCCCGAGAAGTCTAACAGAGGAAGACATCAGCATAAATGGCGGTGTGAGTATATATAAATATAAATATATATATATATGTACATATAAAAATATATACATAGATACATATTTATATATGTATATATAT